AAAACTATCAGGTCTGTGCAGTGTCGTATGACATCTATGTACCAAGTTTCATTGAAATGTGATGATTAGTACTTGAGATATCAGTGGAAAACCGAAAATTGACTAATCATTATGCAAATTAGGTAATTAGTATCCACGGATTATTACCAAAAACTAATCAAATCTGCGCATATGTTCAGAGCATCTATGTACCAAGTTTCATCAAAATCCAATGAGTGGTTCTTTAGATATCAGTGGAACAGTCATAGAACAGCTAAAAATTAGCTAATTATCATGCAAATTAGGTAATTAACGAGCATGGATTTTTACCAAAACCTAATCAAATCTGCGCATTGGCCCAGAGCATCTATGCACCAAGTTTCATCAAAAACCGATGTATGGTTCTTGAGATAGCAGTGGAACAGTCGGACACACATACACACACACACACATACACACATACACACATACACACACATACACACACACACATACAGACACACTAACTGCAAAGACTCCCATTTTGTGCTTCGCACATGGGAGTCAAAAACTGAAATGTCCACAAAAATGCAAAAGCTACATACAGTATGAACTTTTTATAAACCAAACAATCATAGTTTGACTGACAACTTACCTTGACAGAAAATATGTTGCCATGGTGACCAGTACGTATAGTACACAACTGTCTGTGTTTCATTGGTTCCCATATTATAGCATTTAAATCATCAGAACCACTCGCTAATAAACTGAAATAATACAAAATATATCTGGTCAGCAACAATAGTGCGATTTTGCTTGATTTTGATGCATTTTTACATTCAGATATTTCATTGGATTGGATTGGATTGGATTGGATTGGATGTGCATGGGGCGTTCCATATTGTCCAAGGTTTGTACCAATTTTGAGCAAATTCATCCATACACTACCAAGATCCAGTTTCATTCAGTATTGCAGAAACACTTGATTTTGATGAATTTTTAACGACTGAATGGCCACCATTCAGCCATCTTCAAATACATGTGCAACACATGTATGTATGTAATCTAAAGTCTGAACATGATTGGGCAGGGAATGTCCGAGATACAGCTCTAGAACCAAATTTGTTAAAGTGCCTGTGCAATGCCCACCCATACGCTTCCCATTTTAGATCTGTGCCCCACTGAAGTGGGCAATTATTGATTTTTTTGCTGAAAATGATTACTCGTATCCAAGTAAATTTGAGATATTTCCCGTGCTGTAGCCACGCCCACCTATCCTGAAACGGTCGACTGTTT